GGCTGAGGTGGGTACCAGTGAGAGGGAAGCAGGAGGATCCATGTTTCGCCTATCTGGAGGCACAGCCATCTGATTTATCCGCTGACCCTTGCCATGGAGTGCTAGGCTGGGAAGAAAAATAGATGGACGGCTTATCTTATCTCCAGAGATGCTACCTGCACTCTGGGCTGGGGGAGGCGAGCCGTAAAGTGTTGGTAATGTCAGACCAGGGGAGACTGGCTGCCTGCCTGGTAGCATTCCCCAGCAGTATGTCAAGAAATACAGATGTATATGGGTATAAAAATATATTTTACAAGACATGACTATCAGTATATATGATTGGAAGAAGCCTGTTCATCTCTGAAATTTGTCTCAGCTTTGTATAACAAACATACCAACATGCCCCAACACACAATCCTAGAGAGGTGAGCAAGTAAAAACACAACTCAAGAGCTCAAATTAAATTTCAAACGTCCGTTTTGTCCCTCTTACGAAGCTGGCCCTTTAACCCATCCACATCTTTCTTTGCTCCATGCCGTGATCTTATTGTAACTGAGCAGCGGACTGAGACCACTGGACTCACGTCACTTGGACTCAACGGGACCTCTGGGGCTAATATTAGCAGGGCCAATAAAATGACATAGCTAGAAGGCTTTGGCCATCTCCAGATCTCCTCCTGTCCATGCAGGGAGACAAAGGCCCCAAGAAGACAGGAAGGATGCTGCAGAGGCTGAGAGCCAGGAGGAGCTCAGTGCGTACCAGGAGATGACGCCAAAGGAAGCTGCCGATGTGTTGAAGCTGATGGAGGAGTACGAGCCCCTTGTGAACAACTCTGTGGCCTTTGCAGAGCAGCTCAGCAAGGATCTCCATGTGCTGGATGAGGTAAGGGGGCCAAGGGCTGGGACTCAACTGAAAAGAAGGTGCCTGGCACGTAGGGGCGCTGGACCGAGTCTCTGGGTATCGACAGCTCTTTCGTTTGCTGGGAGCATTTGATCTGAAAGTCATCTTGGCGTTGTGCTACTTCAGCTCAAAAGGCAAGTCAGGAGGACACCGCGGCTCCCCTCTCGGGGGTCAGTGTTTGTCCCACCGGCCACTACAGTGGGGCTGCCTGTCCCTTGCAGGGGCTAAACAAGTAGCTGCAGCCTGGCAGCCAGGCACCAAATGTCTCTCTGGGCTGAGCTTAACCGCCCTTAGACATTGGCTTGAGCGGTGTCTCGCCGATGACCACGGTGACTGACCAGCTCGGGGCAGGTGAAACCCTCTGTCAGTTTTGCAAAGGAGTAAAACAAAACAGTGGCGCAGCCCCAGCTGCAGGGAAGGATACGGAGCCCAGCTGCACGTGTAGCTGTGAGGGACTATAATTCCTGGGGACAGCGCAGGGATGGGTGAGGGTCTAACTGCGGGGAAAATGGAGCGGGGTGCTCTGGGGCTGGCTGAGGGAGGTGGATGAGATGGGGAGCTCCGGGATCTCCTTCGCATTGCGCAGAAGGTCTCTGTGTCCCACGCAATGTGAATTAGGACCACCATTTCTGTAGTCACCAGTGCAGAAGAAATTTGTCTTCGGGCATTGCCTCTGGGTCTACAAGCTGTGCCTCCAGCCAGGTCAGCGGTCAGCAGCGACCTTGAGCAATCCCACAGCCTTAACCACGTCTGGAAATGATTTACAGGAACGGTCCCAAGGGGACAACGTGGTGGCAATGCCCACGCTGTGTGTCTTCCCCTCCCTGTCTGCACGGGGCCGGGTGTCCCACGGGGGGGGGTTAGCCTGCCAGACACCTCGGGGCACCGAGAGCTCCCCAGGCTCTGCCAAATCCAGAGTCAGGTCTGCAGCTCACGGCGTGCCTGGCCCAGCGTGGCCATCCACAAGCCAGACATGCAGAAGCGGTGGGGACAGGTCCTGCCACGTTGCCATGAGGGCTATCACAAATACATCAAAAATTCCTGTTATTTCCGTTGTTTTTTTTTTTTTTTAGCTTGAGCACAAGCACATTAGTTACCCCTTGGGAAGGGGAGAACAGAGAAAAGCTGGGTAGGAAGGATAAAGGCTGATGAGTAGGGAGGGAGGGGATGAATGTGCATGTAAAAAGTGGGGGGTGATGAAGAGCAGAAAGGGTGGTCTGACAGGCAGGGATGCCTGGAAGAAAAGGAAAGAGCCAACAATGATCCCTACAGAAGGAAAAGCAGCAGCTAGGGAGAAAGAAAAGAGGAAAAAAATGAAAGTGAGCTGGAAGGAGATAAAAAGTAAAAGATAAACTGTTGTAGAAAGGGCCAGTGAAGAAGGGCACACATTATTTTCAGACTAGTGAGCTTTATTTACTTTATTAGAGTTGCAGAGGATAACTCGTTTCTTTGAGTGCTGGAGCAAAATAATGAGATAGCTGCTTCGAGCATTTATCTTACGCTAATATATCTGGTGCTAGGATTTTATGGGTAGGTAACTGAAGAGCAAAGGGGAGAAAATAAGCCAAAGGAAATATCCTAAAACATACGAGAAACCACAAACTCTAAATCCTCCTTTAGCTCCAGTATTTGCTGCATTCCCAATTTGTATTTATATATGCCTTATTACACATGGAAACTTAGTAGTTAATCTGGACGACCAAACTCCCGAGGTCTGCTCCTGCTTGCTCTTGGCAAGCTGTACAGGCACTTTGCGACACTGTTTCCCAGCTGTAAAAAACCCTGTGAGAGTAACTAATAAATCTCTATTAAGTTCTTTGAGATGAAAGGCGCTGTCGAATACATTATTTTAATGCCCTCTAATGAATAAATGTCACTTATTGCTAGTAAAAATTAATTAATGAGATGTTTCTATTTCTAAGGTTTAATCTGTGATATTAAGTGTTATTAATACCAGCAAGTTAGACTAGCACATGCATATATTTAAATGTTTTTCCCCACATCCCAGTGATAACACCTTGTCCTCCTCTTGCAATACTAATCACCCTCTGCTAACCCATCTCTTCTGGGGATCGCGAAACACTGCGCCAACAGCAAGAAAACGCTTGTCTGCTTCGGAGGGAAGGAAAGCACGGCCAGGGCACCCGGGAGGCTGCGAGCTCTGATTTTTACATTGGTATTCCTACGTACTCGCAGGATCCCAGCGCCCGCTGAAAATCCGGCAGCTCCTGGCAGCTTTGGGCCGCCTCCAGCGGGAGAGTTATTACCCTCACCCGAGCGGCGGTGCTCCGGAGAGCCCTTTCTGCCAGCAGTTGCCCTGCCAATGTCACCGGTGGTGCTTTGCTCTAGGCGAGCCCCCGTGGGTCTGTTAAGCCCTAATAAGACAATCTGAAGGCGCGGCGGTGACAGGCTTGTGGGAGGTTTATGGCTGTGATTTAGGCACATTTAATAAAATGTGAAGCTCCGGGCAGAGCCCGTGACCGCGGGCCAGGGTCCCTGCCGCGCGGCTGGAAAGCAGCAGTCCGGGAGAGGGGCTGTTTGCTCCCTCGCAGGTCCCTTGTGCTGTCCTGCGTAGGCTGGTTGGGCTCTGGGCAAAAGGAGCATTTGCTTAGCGTCGTCGGTGCTTTCAGAGATGAGGATCTGCGTGCATTAGCAAGCCCCGCTTCAAATCCGACTGCTGAGCCTGCTGGCAAGTGAAACCTCTGCCTTCCCTGCCGTCACTGGGCTCCCGTGGGGAAGCCGCATCACTTTGCAGTGTGGTAGTTGCATCTCTACCCTTCGATGGCGATGCTTTGCTGTGTTTGCTACGACATCAGGCTTTTCTTTTCTACAGAATTCCTCTGACCTTTCCAGATCCTTTGGGAATCTGCCTACATCTGAAGCTGTTCCCCACAGTCCTTTCTCCCACATTTTCCCAAAATGGCACTACATTTGTCACAGGAGAGCGTAATCCGTGCTTTGCCAGTGAGACCAAAGGCGCCCGGTCCAGGAGCGTGCTGCAGAGAGGCTCTCCCACATTTCAGGAGCACCTCCACGCTGCTCCACCACCACGTACCAGCACCTCCGCGCTGCTCCACCACCACGTACCACCTCTAGAGCTGGAGCTGCCAGCTCATCTTTATCCCAATAGCAACGCAGGAGGAGCTTGAAGAAGAGAAAGTCCTTAACACAGGGATTGTAGATGCCCAGCATCTACCGTGCTTTCAGACACATTCCTAATTCGGAGCACAGGGCAGGTCCAAGCCACAGTAACCTGACTTGGGTGGACAAGACTTTGCTTCTCTTCCTCCCATCATTTCCCACCGGCGAGCCGAGCGCAGGGCTTACTGGGGGGTGCAGATACTTCTGTTGTTGGTTTTCTTCATTTAATGAAAAAGATGTCAGATAATTGAAACATCAGAAAAAACAAACTTCTTTAAAAGCGTTATTAATGGAGAGAAAAATAGCAGTCTGGAAGCCTCATGCCTCCCAGGCCCGTGTCTATTGATTGTTCTCTTTGATATCCCGCATGGTACATAGGCCCTGAAAACGATACAATTAACATTTGGAAGCAGTTAATCTCTAGCGGAGCTTGTCAGCAGCAATTAACACGCCGTTATATCTCTACCACCTGTCAAAACAAACGCCTGAGACCTCCCTAGGCAAATTGTGCCTTCAGTTTCCATATTAGAGACATATATATGTGCATGTCTCATGCATGATTTAACTGTTTATTAATTCCACTGCCAGAGCCGCTCAGCTGGGTAACACCCTGGCAGCAGCAGCAACGCCCGGAGCTGTGCTAAACGTGCTGTGACAGGCACTTGGCATGGCCGTGGGCTGCATAAATGCGTTAGAACCAGAAAGAAATGGCCAGTTCCTCAAAGCTGGCATGTTTCCTTACAAATATTGTGGGATGGACACCCAGGTCCTCAGGGCACTTCACCAGTTGTGGAGATTGAGGGTTGGAGGCTCCATGCAGTGTCCACTTGGGACTTTCCTAGTGCACAGAGGGAAAAGTGGGGTGCAGAAGCCAGCAGGGCTTGGTACCTTCTCCAAACCTACAAAGACTGTATTCTGCTCATGGTTGGATTTGCCTGGCAACCCCACAGTAACCTCTTTGCTGTGGCAGATGAAAGTCCTCTGAGCGTACACCTTGCTCAGGGAAGGGTTTTGCTCTCCCCTGGCACTTGGGACTTACAGGTGGCTGCTGATATAGTTTAGCCAAGTGCAAAGGTAAGACATTGACCTTGTGCAGGTAGTGATGCAGGACAGCAATCATAACAGCATCTTGCACGTTATAATGACAGGGTCTCTGCTTCAACTTGGGAGGGTGAAGGTCAGGATATTTGACTCTGAGATGGCGGTGATCAGTCCCTGCTACAGTGCTGAAGCCCTCTGTTTCTCCATTTCACAGGCCAACATTAGAGCCATTATCTCTTCTGAGAAGCAGGTGACACAGCTGATGAGCTCCATTGATGAGGTCCTGGCAGAGGTGGCCAGAGTGGAGGAGACCTTGCAGATCTACGATGAGTTACTGGGAAGCGTGAAGCAGCAGATGGACCACATCCACCAGGGAAACTCCTTGCTACATCGCATCAGTTCCAACAAGACAAGGCTGATGGATGAGATCCTCTTCCTCACGGTACGTGGATTTGCAAAGACATAAATCTTCAGCCTGTTGAATCTATTAGAAAAAACTTTCAGTGAGCCTCAAACATTCTGAAGACTATTATCTGTCTGCAAAGGCTACGGAGCTTCTCTGGCCTAGAAATGAGGGACTTTGTTGTCTTGATACCATAAGGACGGCCACACAACTGGGATGGACTACAGGTAGACCAGCAGCAGACATGATGTGCAGTACCCTCACTGTGGTCCAGGGCTGTAAGAGGGGTCCCTGAAAGTCCTTTCCATGCGCAAGATGAGCCTCAAATGATGTAATGCCAAGGACCTTCCAAACGCAGCTCTGCAGCCTTTCACTTGGGATGCTGTGGTCTGCCTTTCACTAGCGGCTTTGGGACCTTCTTTTTACATGCTCAGAGGCTGCTGGGGCAGTGCTTTTACCCTTGCACCCAAAGCACTGAGATCCTCTCAGTCTTGTGCCTTCAAATTCCAGGCATCCTTATGTCTGGTTTGTGGGGTTACGTGTGGGAAGCAATTGTCACTGAGAGTAGTTGCTTTCTTCCTCCCTTCGCTTGGTAGCTTTCAGTTTATATCTTTGTCCTAGGGAAAAACAGCTCTCATTAGTAGATAATAGACATTTCAGTAGCCAATAACCATTACCCAGGAATACGCAAGCACAGTACCTAACGAGCAATTAGAGCCAGAGCATGCAACACCCCCCTGATCAAAGCATGCTCCCGTCAGCACTGATAACCTCACACCAGCAGAGAAACTGCTGGGTCCTGAGGCAAACTATACATCTGCCATGGGAAAAGCATTCTGGGGCCTCCCTGTTGCCCTGGAGAGGAGCCCTGGAGAGGCTGTTTGTCCAGGGACCCTGTTGCTTCTCTTCCCACTTCCCACTGGTGGGAGTTTCCCCATTCCTTTTCTCTCCTTTGCTTGCTTTTTTTTTTTTTCCCCACCTTTGAAGGTAACTTAACCGGTAAGTCACTGTCTGCCATCAGTGGTGGACTTTGTGCACCTCAGCCTGTCTCAGCATCCATCGTGGAGCAAGGAGCTTTTCTCTGCAGTACCTCATAGCCACAGAGGCACTGGCGCAGGGCAGAGCGCAGCCAGTGGGAAGACTCTTGATGAGCTCTGGGATTATGGGAAAGCAAATTATTTACAAACGTAACGTGCCATAAATGCAAGAACTGTGCTGTGATAGCACAGCTAATCCTCGCTTCCACTGCTTACGGTGACCTCTATGCCGTTGACCTTTTCATTCCTCAGTAACTCAAGCTGCAGTTTCCTTAGCTTTTTCTTTCTCCTCCCCACCACTTCGCTGCCAGTAGCGATCCCAGAGGTGCCGGCCCTTTGGAAACTCGTGCTGAGGTTTGCCAGGGCTTCCCTGCCGACCGCTGCTGTTGTTACTGTGCAGACCTTTGGCTTCGGCGGGGATAGAGCAGCATGGTCTTCTTGATGGACACGTGCAGCCTGGCAGCTGAAGGTAGCACTTGGCTATTTCAAGCCAGCAGACTTCTGGGATGAGAAGGGATGAGAAGCTGGCTGTGCTTGTACCTGTTCTCTTCTGGCTTTGTTTTCAGACCCACCTCAATCTCAGCAGGGAACACTGCGATGCCCTGAGCCGGGCAGATCTTTCCAGCCCCAGCAGAGTGAAAGCCTGCATTGCTGCAGCAGAGGCTTTATCTGGCTGCATGAACATCCAGATACAGCCCGGTGAGTAAAGAGCAGAGATTTATGCCTGCAAATGGCAGAGCCACCAGCTCCTCCACAACCTGTGCTGCCCACCCAGCACCATCCTGTGCTGCCCAGCCTCTGCAGGTGCCCTAAACCGCTGCAGCCGGAGTGGGTGTTCCCAGGAATTAGCTCGCACGCTTGCTGGGCAGCTCTGCAGGCTGCCTGGGGCAAAGTGGAAAAGAAATAGAAGGTAGGCAGGCGTGTATTTGGGAAGCTAAGCAGCAGCACTGACCTGGGGGTACGTGGGGCGTGCGGTGCAGAGCACCCTGCAGCACACCTGGAGCTGTGAACTGGGGGAACAGGCTTGCAGGGTCGGCTTTCTTCTGAAGATATTGCTGAAGCTTTCAAAGTCTCCAGCAGCTTCACCTAGAAGCACAGTCAAGCAGGGCTGGGAAAACAAATGTAACATTACCTCTGAACATCCATGAAGAACAGCAGCGGGGGGAGGACTGGCTCCATTCCTAGCGAAATCCAGTTCATGCTGCAAACGGCCAAGCTGGGACATCCATGCACCACAGGCAGGTCTGCAGGACCTCCCTCTGGACTCAGGCACCGGCTGGTCCAGTTTACGTTAAAGTTGAGGCAAACTTATGGCAAGCATCTATACAATTCCTCTAAACACCTGGACCTAAGGCAACATTGTCTGCCATCTGTGTACGACACCTCTTATGGTTCAGAAAGGAACTGGTGGAAAGACAATTTTAGCAATTGTGGTCTCTTGGGGCAACTCACTTGTCTGTACTTGAGCATGGAAAAATGATAATTCGTTGTAGCAGGATCCGCTGTGGGTGTTGTTGGAGACCTGCTGGTGTACAGGGACTTGATCCTGGCATGAAACCCCATGCTTTCCTTGTGAAGAGACTGGGTGTTTGTCCTTGACCATGGTCAGACTGATAGATGCTTTGCAATTATTATTCATTTAAGTTTAAACTCCCTCCCTCTTTGTATTTCTTTGGTACCACAGCAAATCTTTTTCCCTTTGTTGGGACTGATAGATGCTTTGCAATTATTATTCGTTTAAGTTTAAACTCCCTTCCTCTTTGTATTTCTTTTGTACCACAGCAAATCTTTTTCCCTTTGTTGGCTTTTAGGTGGTAGTATTTATCCCAGAACTTACTTCTTGAAGACCTGTTTTATTTGCCAGTGTGCTGAGTGATGTTGGTCTGCAGCCACGACAGCTCATGCCGCTCCATACCACGAAACCCTCTTTTTTTTTCCTCAAGGTTACCGGAAACTGCAGTCTGTGGCTGAGCAGCTGATCATGTTTGAAACACTCAAGCAGAACTTCGAAAACTCTTTCATCGGTCACATTACGAGCATCTTTGAGCTGCAGGTGGGCATTGCTCTTCATGTGGCAGCTCAAAATCCTGGGAGATTTGAATATTCTGGTAAAATAGTGCCAACAGTATAGGGGATGCCACCGTAAGAGGATTCTCCAAAAGTGTCTCCTCAAGGAGGTCTTTTCACGTGCCTCCACCTGCTGTTGCCCCCCAGCCCTCTGGCTGGTTTTGCAGGCATGCAGAAGAAATCCAGCACAATTCTGTGTCTATCAGGCTATCCGGTTGCCTCCCGTGACAGTCATTAATCCTCTGGTCATGTTAAAAAGTGATTAGGCCTAAAGATTTTTGCTTTAGATTTTCTTGTTTTGCTTCAGGAGTGGTGGTGGTTGTTCGTCTATTTGTAACACGAAATCCCAGGATAAAAGCCAATACCTTGATCCTTTGATTAACATTTTCAAGTGCTCATCTTGCAATTTAAAAGATATGGTGGAAATATCTCCATGGGGAGAAATCTGAAAGAAAAATACTACTCTTCCAGATTTCATTTCATGAAGAGAAAAGGAGCTACTCCCAAATCCTTAGCATTATATATCCTTAAATCTTTAGCATTTACTTTCAAGCATTGACTCCGGGAAGGGATGTGACTGGCAGGGAACTGCGAGGGAACTGTGGGATCTCCATCCCTGGAGATTTTCAGCCCTTGACTGGACACATCCCTGAACAAGCTGCTCTACCTGGACCTGCTCTGAATCTGCT